AAGAAAGAAAGAAAGAAAGAAAGAAAGAAAGAAAGAAAGAAAGAAAGAAAGAAAGAAAGAAAGAAAGAAAGAAAGAAAGTCCCAAATGTATCTTTCTTTGCTCCGCTCTCCCCTCGCACCAAAGTTTCATGAAAACTACCTTCTGCATAAACATTTGGTTGCAACTGAGTATGTAGTGCAAGCTAGGTGATAGACCAGCTGGTGAAAAATATGGGAAGTCAAGCTGTTCACTGTTCAGGCTGGTGAATTTGATAGTAAAAGGCGGGGAGGTGGGGGGAGATCTTAAGAAGGGAGAGGAAGTACAGGGACACCATGCAAGAATGCTCCTAGATAAATAAAGCACAATAGCTAGGATCTGAGTACATGCAAATATGGCTATTACTGTATTTTTGAATTTGTGGGAAGGTACCTGAAAAAAAGAAATCAATTCTCATGCATTTAGGAACTCTGGCTCAGAAAACACCTTGGACTGGAGCATCTGAGCTCCTTCCAAGGTTTTATTTGATTCAATTAATTTCTCTCCTTTGTTGAAAATCTCTGACATTTACAGCTCCTCCCCCCCCCCCGCCAATACTGTGATGCGAACATACTTGGAAGAGCTGAACTGTTTTTCTTGGTATTCCCTAAATTAACCTGCCGGTAATCATTTTCTTCCTGACAAGAGCTGAGAAGTGATTTTGCCAGCTCTGTCAAATGCATATGTACAAACTGGTGGAGAAGCAAGCCTGGGGTGTGCATTTTAACTTTTTGTACAAGTTTAATAGGTGAGGCAGATAAGAGTGTAAAAGGCACGCCATGCTCCCCCCCCCCATTGTTGGTGCACTTTCTGTTTTAAAGAACAAGGTTTCATGTTCGTTTGGAAGCAAAGGGTTTGAGCTGAGAAACAAAATAGATTGACTTCTCTCTCTCTCTCTCTCTCTCTCTCTCTCTCTCTCTCTCTTTTACTGAGGTGTGCATTCAGAGATTTTACTTTATTCAAGAAATGTTGGGGAAGGGCATGGAGGAAGTGCTGGTTATAATAATCCATATGTTACTAGCTTTCCCAGACATGTGGCTATCAAGCTATGTGTATATATATATATATATATATAGTCATATTAAATTTAAAAAAAAGAAAGAAAAGAAACCTTGTCGTCTAATTCTTTTTTATTTACCATTTTCCATCTGTGGTTTTAGCTGGTAATCCAAACCAATATCTCTGTTAATCATTACCATTTGTTTACATTCTCTGTGTTTGACTGTAGTTGCACACACATGGTAAAGTGTATAGGACAGGTTGTGGATTTTATTTACTGCAGGATTTGTACAATTTGCACAAAAAAAAAACCCTTTCCCCCAGCCTGGCTCACTCCAGAGCTTAATGCTTTTTATGCATTTTGTTAAATTACAGTGTTTACACCTGTCAGACTAAGCTATAGCCTTGCTAATTGTCTTAAGGCCCATTTTATATATATATGATGCTCTAAGGGGTAAAAATGTATAATTCAGGGAATTTTGGTTTAATTCAAGTTATCTCCTATACCCTTTGTAGGAAGAAATTTGTTTCCTTGCTTTTTCTTCCATTTTGGCTGGATTTTAAAACTCTTAGAACTTAACCTTAACTTGGCGGAGAAAACTCATGGCTTTCACAGGAAGGGACCTTACTCCGCTTTTTTCTAGATCTGAGTACTGCCGTTGGTCCCTGTGAGTTGCTTTTAACACAGAAGCTTGGAATGAAAACTCTCTACAGCATCCGGTGAAAAGTCAGGCAGAAATCTGGAACAATATTTACCTCTGTTCAGTTTTGTGAATTTGCATGTCCAGTTTCTTGATTTAAAATCAGGATAGGCTTAGCAATTTTAGGCAAGCTGATGATCCCAATGTGTGTTTGTGTGGTTCTGCCAAAATGTTAGAAGATGCTTCATACAGCTCAAACTACGAATACAAACTTCGAAATTGAAACATTTTGAAAGCTTCTAGCCGGATCAAGCATCCTGTTTCTGATAGATGTAATTGTCAGATTTCATGCTAGAGAGATTTTATTTTTAAAAAAGGCTGCAATTCTAAATATAGTTAAAGTAAGTCTTATTGAATTAACTTGTTCTTCATTCTAAGTAAGATGCATGGA